AGTCTGGAAGAAGTTTACTAACGTTTCAGAGGTCCTTACTGCCTCCATCATTAGGGCGATTTCGGCGCAACAACCCAGAAGACAGCCATCTTCAGACTCACCGCCGTTAGAACCTCAAATCGTACTACTGTTGTAATGTTGTATGCGGTATTTGCAGTTTACGTTAGATATTGACCTCTCGTTTTCCGACTTCAAAATCAGCAATAATTTAATTTTCAATTTTGTTTCCACAACCGTTACTACTCATGGCCTCCTAGATTTCTTAATTGACTGCGCAGATATTACCACTTTTTAACGCAAAAACTATACAAGAAAATGCGCGAAGTGACTAAATACTCTTTAAGTCATATTTACGAACGTCGGATGATAAAATAATTTAACCGACAAATAAAATCTTCGATGGATATGGATTGAGTGGTCTTAAAGTTTAAATGATGGTTATGAGAAGTGATGGATTCAGAGTCTACGGTTAATGAGGGCTTACTTTAGTGATATTATAGCTATGTGACAGGTGCGGGATCTTGAGAAGGGATAAGGTCTCGTTTTAAGCCATATTTGTCTGTACATAATTGTAATTGGAGTAGAATTAAGGAAAGACATTATGAAACAGCGGGCAAAATGTATCCCGCTTGTGATTGCAACTGGTATCGAGTATTTGCCAATAATAGCGCAGATTTTGGGAGAAATATCCCCGTATCGATTTTCCTCAATTTCCTGCTTCTGAATTGCAGTAATTTGCTAGAAATTCCAAATGTCCGGGCAGGAAAGACATCTTTAGAGCTGATCAGACTGACATGCTTTACAGTGTGAGATATACTCTCTGAAATATTTGGATTACCCCATAGTTTTCTCTTTGGAATGTCGCGGTTGAGAGCTTAGCATTATTGCGTCGTATTCTGAAGGTCTTAGTTTAGATTTTCGGTCTAAATTCCTGTTGTACTGTGGCTTTGGTGGTCTCTCTGTTCATCCAGGCAGATATTGGAAAGGTACTTTAAAACGAGTCATTGCCGTGTCGTTTTATACGCTTGCCAGTTTATAATCCAGAATCAGGAATCGCTTTTAAAGATAAGGAACACAATTCTTCTCGACCCACACCATGTTAGAATGGCAAGAAATACCGACGTTTCGGAGAATATTTTATATAGAAGTATAAAGTTTTGTTAAGAATTGTCGTTAATTAAAAAAAAGTTAATAACGGTGACGCGAGGTGCAGTCGATTGATCGATCATCCATCCAAGTCAGACTATAATTTTACTACCACTGGCATTTAATCTCACATGGCTACCAATTTAACTTTTGATCAACACCAGTAATGCCGCTAAACTTACTTCGTTAATATTTATTGTCAGATCTAAAGAAACAAACTTACTGTTTCTCTAATTGCGGTTTGGGACCTCTACGCTAGTGACCTGCAGTGCGTCCATTTAAAACGCAACCCAAACACAAAACATTTCAGAGTTTTAGTGACATAGTGTAACAAGACAAAGAAATTAGAAAGAACTGGTAGATGTTCAAATTTTTCTTTATCTCCTCGAAGACAAGTGTATGCCCCTTTGAGGGTGATTCATACGACTTTACTGAGTGTTTCGGGGTCGTTGTTGCCAACAGGCTGTATATTGTTGGGTTTTACTTCTTCCAAGCTTCGTTGGTTATTAAAAAAAGTTTCTTTGGGAAATTCCCGCAGAAAGAAGTCTGACGAAATGAGGCCCGGAGACTGCGATGGCCAAAGGTCACCCCAAAGAATACGCCCACCAAGTAATTGTTGCAGTAAAGCATTTGTAGGCCGTCACCTCATCAATTTGAGATCTTCGGTCCCTCTTATTTACTTCGAACAAATAAATTAATCGACCAAGAAAATTCTCATACGTTCCGCGTTGCTTTATCAGAAAACAGCTTTGTTACCAGTCGATTTATTGTTGTTAAATTGGATAGTTCTTTGTAGGAATACGAATACGGGTAATGCTTCACAAACCATTTTGATGGGAAGTATTGTTCGAGAATGGAGACACGTTATGCTCGTAAACCATGGACCCCATTGTTGCGTAGAAGTGGGTGCAATAATTGGACTTCTGGTCACATTGTTTTGAAAACGACAGATAGAAACAAACAAACAGGCGCTTACTGTGAAGACGCTATGTAAATTGAGCGACGTTTCAAAGCTGCGTACTGCTTCTATCATCAGGCGACTCATCGCCATGATGATGGAGTCAATACGCACTTATGAAAGGATGGGCAATTTCTATAAGACTTCACGGCGAAACATCCCAAAAGACAACTTCATACTTATTGTCTTGAGAACCTGAAATTTTTCTTGGGGCTCATAAGGTGTTCTTCGCTGACCCTGCAGCGTAAAGAACGCCTAACAAGTGGAGTTTGCAAAGCCATGAGCACGTAAATTAGAGACGAAGTTACTTGTCTACTCCAGATTTCAGTTATATGAGTAAATAGATCAGGTCTCACGTACAATGTTTGAGGTCGTTGAATTATTTGCCCTATTTTGATAGGGGTAGTCGATGCAACATGCAGACTTAACCTGGCAGACTCAGAGAAAGCTTTAGATGTGAAAGTTAGCGGCATTGGCAGCATTCCAGATAGTGGAATTAATGAAATTCCTTTGCATATCCCCCTTTACAGGTCTATCTTAACCTAATATCGTGCCAAGCTTTGCCATACTGCTACTCTGTAATGCCCTGGCGTAGGAACATATGTTGTAAAATTTGGATTACAAAAAGTGAGTCTGCAGACTTGTTAAATGGTTAAAAAATATCAGAATCCGTACGATCTGTTAATTATGTTTTATAAAAGACGTTTTGAATTTAGTAATATATAATGAAGCCATGTGGTCAGATACGTTTGCTTTCTTTGTTGTGATGCAAACAACAGTAATTTCTTTTAACATTTAATCTCTATAAGAATGAATAAAAGAAAATAAGAATTTCACTTAAGTCTGTAACCAATTCTATTTCCCAAAGGCATATATATTTTTTCAAACCAGTTCTTTACTGTAGAAGTGTCTAATACATGT